GGGTGGACGAGCTTTCATTTCAACCGTAAGAATTAGGCGAGAACGCATGGTTTATAAATGTTGCATCTCTTTCTCTTGCACTGGCAGGTAGAACTGAAAAGTTTTTCGGATGGTTTTGATGCAAGATGCCGTATGTTTTTTTTGCAGGGCTCCCATTCTGCGTATGTCACCGAGTTGATAGTCATACCTTTGTCGAAACCAAATCCATTTGCATGTCTGCAACCACACCTTAGCAAACATTTTTACATATGTGAATGTCTTGTTGTCCATCAACGGCTCCATCTCCAGTAGAGTCAATTATAGTGCATATATATATACATATGTAATTACATTTATGTATATGTCCATGTGTATGTGTAGTAGCAATTAGTACATGCAATAAGCACAAATGCGCGTTGCCAATTTACCATACGCAAATCGATGTGCAGTTTTATCACTCGATGCAAACTGCGAATAGAAATATGTGCCTTCATCCTCCAAGGCCACGACGGTGCATTGGCTTCGTGTTGGGTGACCAGTGCCAGGTACCGCGGCTGGTAGTCCAAGGGAGAAACATGGAGGTTTGACATGAAGTGTGTGGATTTCAACATCATTAAACAACAGAGGTATGCAAAAATCAGAATGTTGACCAGAACTTGGTTTGAGCCTACCACGGTTCAAAAAAGAACAAGATTTGACCAGTCATCATGGGAATGCAACTGAGATAGTTGAGTCAAGGGAAATGGGATGACAAGAATTGGTGAAATTGTCCATGTTCCATCCCTAAAAGATGAAACGCATGAAATGACCCCAACTGACTGATCTTCTTTCGGTACTTGATTGCTGAGACTTTTTTCCCGTCGCTACTTTGTCCTCAGATGTAGATTACCTTGTACCGTAGATTCATCAGGTATCGGAGGTATCGGACAATCCTAGTGCGGTTCGCCACAGAGCTGGGGGCCAGAGGAGATCCCGTAAGAGCAATTCAGCGCCCCAGATTAGCCAATACCCAGTGGACCTAGTCGTTGCCCTAGTCGTTGCTCTAGTCGTTGCTGGCATGGGTTTACTTAGTTTACTTTGATTCAGCATGTGTTTTACGACACATTCATCTACATGGCGCTCGATATACCTCTTTCATCATTGGTGCGTGTTTCCCGATATGTTTAGTTCTTGTGTAGCTAGCAATCAAAATCCGCTGGTGGGTTCAACTACTTTTGTTCGCATGCCTGCCTAAGATGATGACCCGGCATGATTGAGTTCTTCCAGGGGTTGAAGTCAGCAACAAACTAAATGGTCTTGTTTCGCAGCCTGCATGTTTGTAGGACATGGCAACCCACAAGAGGGGTAATGGATGCCATGCCAATGAGCAGTTGATGGTGGAAACAGCGAATCAGCACCGCACAATCTTTACGCACTTGTTGTTGGTAGTTGTTATCCTTATTTGGTCTTGATTTGCATCTCTAAGTATACCCTACTAGACCAGTTTTCTCATGGGTTTAAAGGGCGAAATCGCCCAAAAGCTGCCACGTCAGGCGCAACTGGGGAGTTGCAATTACACCATCACACAGCAGGCGGGATCCCAAGGCGATTGGTGGCTATGGTCATGGCGTGATCAGCGGTCTCACCATCACCTGTTTTTGAACAGCATTCCAAAAAAAATCCAAAACATGGGTTGCTTCCAGTCTGCAAAGTAAGATATGTTGCCAGTTATGGTGCTCACATAAGTAAGAAAATTAGAGCATAATCAGCGGAACAAGGGCATGACTAACCGGCAGATGTGCAAGCAGGCATTTCCAAATAAAGGGTTTCTTTCATGTGCCGCAAGGTTTTCCAGTTATCCGCAAGCATACACGGAATACAGCAAAAGCATTGAAAGGCATCAACGTGCGGACACACTTTGATGCTGAATTGTCAACTGCAGGATTATATCAGTGGAGGGTTTCTAATTTTTGCTGAGACCACACTTTAATTGCCCAAAGAATGTAAACTCATCAAATCCTCTTCATCAAGATGTTTCTTGCATATCCACGGTCATGAATAAGACGTCGCGGCAGCCCAGGATTTATCCAGCCATAGCAGCGGCCTGTGCGTGAAGCCCTCAAGGAGCAGTGCAATGTGAAGATGGGCGGTAGATGCAGATATGTTGGGCATATAAAGTATAGAACCACCATGAACTTCTGCCATGAACCGCACAAAATCAGGAAAGCGTCATAATCCCGGTGGCTTAGACATGGCCAACAGACATGGAGAATGAGACAGTGAAAAATTTGGGGTGTGATTAATACAAAGCTTGGCACCTTGCAAAAAAACACGGCGGCTATAGACATTTATAATTTTGTATATTTGAATAGAATCTTCTGGTGCCCAATCCCCTCAGTTATGTGATGTGGCATGTACCTAAAAGTCGGGGTGTCTTGGGGAAAGAGAGTTGGCCTTTGCTCAACAATGTTGAACAAATGCACCATGGGTGAGTTTAGGAGAACTCGCAAAGCCAGAGGCTATCTGGATCTATTTGGTATGAACCCGCTCATATCTGGATAGCTCGATATATTCCAGAGATAGCTGAGGTTGTTTATTTCACCAATGTTATGTTTTAAATGCACAATTTACATTCCCGTGTTCCCTCATTGTTGGGTGATATGACTATGTTTGTCGTTATTTTGTTCTCCATAATTTGTTCGTTGATAGCCTCATGTGTTGTTGACCCATTGGCACTCGTTTCTAGCATCCCGAGGTGTGCAGCAGCATCATGGACAGCGTCCACGCCGCGGCAGACAATGCGAATCGTCTGGATGCCCATTGGTTGATAGAATTTGCTCGGACACGCATGGGTGCACAAATCATCCCGAGTCCTTGTTTGGCCACCTGAACTCAAGAAATCGCTGTTGGTCAACATTTCAACTGTCATAGAACAAGCAGAACAAGCATTATGTTTGGACGTGCCCAACGGTAGGGAGAGGCCTGTTTGAAGCAGCAGAAGTTCCCTATCCCAATCCACTTTTCTTGGCCATTGTACCCCCATCATAACCCAATACAAGGGGAGAGGGAGTTGCACCCACATGATATCATGATGTCCACGTTTTAGGCATTGCAACAACAGATCGTATCATTATCAAGACAAGCACTCCTGCAGGCGTTAGCCCATGTAACCCCAAGATTTCTCGCCTTAGACTGCCCAATGACTGTCTTGGCCAAAACCCGACTCAAGTAAGGCTTGGCGCGTTTGACGGCAGAACTCCAGTCCTTGCACTTCCTGTCCCCGAAGGCAACTGGTGGTCATTGATTGCTCAGTAATTAGGGGCTAGGATGGAAAAGTGATTGGGGCTGAGGTTCTTCAGATGGGACCCCCACCACAATGAGATAACAGGTAATTGATCCTGAGCCGGGACATGGGGTGCAAATTGTTGGTGATGCTTAACGACCCTTGCCCCCTTCATGGGCCCTCCCAGCATGCAAGCAGTGAAAGGCCAATCAGTTGCAACACCCGGGAAAACCCCTAACTGCGCGATGATTTTTCAAAGACCTCTAGCTACTCTAGTTGGATCCCATATAATATCATGCAATGAGTGCATATTAGCGCTATGTTGTCTATATTTTGGGCTATGCAGAAGGCATTCGCCAAAGTCTGAAGCCACAACTTCATCGACTTCTCACGGCTGCAGGCCCACCGGACCATCGCTCCAATGGACGTCAGGGTGACCCAGACACCGGCGCTGGCAAGGCGTTGGAGTAAATATAATATATAATAATATTATATATATATTTTTGAATGGTATTTATATTCTTTTCTAAGAGGGTGGAGAAACCATGCGAATGATTCAAAATTTGGGGCGGTTGCTGGAATGCTGATCGTTTTTGAATGTATTGTTTGTGTGCCGGCACCAATGGTAGTAGAAGATTTAAAAAGGAATTTGCCTAGGTTTGTGAGTAACTTTTCTCAAGGAATCTATTCCACTGAATGGGGAAACATGTACATGACATTCCATCACCCAAACATTGACAGTGTTGTGCTTTCCTTCAATGGACATGTTACCTGGATTTATCGCAGCATGCCCAAACTGGAAGTATGTTTCCATACATCAAAAGCTGCTTTAGTTTCCAATCTTGATCTCTGGGCGTTCTCCTCCCAAGCTCATATATGTGGTGCTTTCCAGCACTGATCTTACAACGGTATTTTGAAGATGACAGTTCGCGAATGTGCCTGGAATTGGTGGGCAAAAAGACCATTGGAATATAAGTTCTTGAAAGAATCCCACACCAAAACATAGTAGAAAAGGTTAAAGGCATCTACCCCACCAAAGTTCATATCTACGAGAGGTGAATATCAAATTCCACGTGTCGGATCGTGTAGGTTATATCATCTCCCAGTATGTTTGGAATCGCAATCCACAAAGAAACCGTTTGGCACGCCTTCGTTTTGGCCTCAGGTGATTGCCGCTGCTCAGGCTGCGGATTGGACACGTGGTGCAATGATGGGGTTCGTACATGCTTGGCCCAATGAAACGAAAACGTATATACCGTATATATCATGTTTGGAGCGTGTGTACCATTCTGTACCAATACAAATTCCACGGGATGCCTTGACTAGTAAGAGTGCAGACATCCTGGATCCCTTGGCCGTGAAGTTTGGACCCGCGGTCATATAGACTTCCAGAACCCTGTGATGATGGGCTCCATGACAACTTTAAATGGGCCTGTCAAGACCCCAATCAATAGGGTTATCTACTGGTAAAATCCCTCGTTGAGTTATAACCGGAGGCATCTGATCACAACAGATAAAACTGATGCCATTGATGTAACTACAGCTGGACATGATACCCACGAGCAGGATCCATCATCGCCAGACTCCAGAAATCCAAGGGCCGCATTTGTCGCTCGAGTGCTGCTGGAGTTGTCGGCGCGCGACTTTGCCAGCAAAAAAACAAAACTGATATTCCGTGTCCATATTAGATGAGCCACAAATATGTTTGCAGCCAACAAAAAATATGCTTATTTAGAAGGCAGGGTAGAGCCTAGGTGAACCCAAGTGAATCATATCCCGATGGCGACAGATGCGCCAAAGTGCGCTACCAAGACGCTGCATGTGTCAACGCCTACGGGAGAAGACATCGAGCTGAATCTGGGTGATGTTTTCATGGACATTTTTCAAGGTGATTGCTTCGATGTCGATGGCATAATACCCATTTTTGTTAGCCAGTGATGTCGTTGCTGCCAAACTGTTAAGAAGCGGTTTGGCTCTTAGATGATCTTCTTGACACACATGGATGAAATTACATTGCTCAGGAGTTGCGAAGATGAGACGATTCTGCAGCTGAAGATGCGATTGCAAAGCTCCGAGCAGGTGGGAACAGCCCTCCATGGGGTCATGGGGTCAGCATGGGTCAATACCCCATACCCCGATGAGATGATAAGGTTCATTTCTAAGTCAAGTAGGGTTGTAAACCATGTTGTACATACATAAGTATACGTAAGTGTGATTGGCCCCCTCATGATTGAAGAGTGACGTTTTGTAGAAGTTTTGACTCGGTTTTGATCAGATAGCTTTCCAACAGAATCAAACTTGAATGCGGCTTTGGTAGGTCCTTTGTTCGAAGTGGAGCATTTGTTCCTTTTGATGGTGGCCCATTTTTTGACAGTCAGATGCCTAGCAAATCAATCTATTGCCCTTTGCATCTTTTTGTGCAACGCATTTGGGAGCAGAAAACCTTTGAAAATTCGTAGGCGAGTATAAAGCAGCATGGTGCATTGGTACAGGATTTTTGGGTTGGTGCATCATGAAAGTGTAGGTATACGTCACCACCAAACGATGCATCATCCCAAAATGCACCCTGGTTAGACATGTATTATGAATTCTGATCAGTGCATGGGGTATTTGGCAAGGAGGATTTGAAGTATAGCAGTTTCACATTGGCAAAAGATGGCAAAAGGGCCCCTTTATTTCCCATGCTGTTCGGCTTTTATGTATAAAATACAAAATTTATAGTGGTGGTCATGCCCCCAAAGGCGATGTTTATGGAGCAAGTCAAAGGAACCCTGATTCAGGGTTCAGCATACCCGACGCCAAAAAGGTTATATCCGACAGAAATCATGCGACGGGTATTTCGTTTAATGTTAGGCTCGTCATTCAGGATCCAGGAATAAGACCAAAACGAAACATGAATGAGAAGGGGATTGAATCTTGAAAAGGGAAAAGAAATATTGTGGGAAGGGACGGGTGAAATTTCATCCGATCAAATACCAAAAATGTATGCCCCCAACAACCCCCGCAAAATGATTGTTGCAACGGATACCCTTCATGCATTTCAACAGTCAACTGATTTAACTCTTGAAATCTTCGCCTTTTTGCCTTTTCGGACTTTTCGGACGTGTTTTTGCACGCTTTTCTCGAAGCTCCAGGTGCCCGAGAAGTTCCGCACCGCTCCCACGCGCGCCCTTCGCTTGGTCTTTGGCACCGAGGTTTCTGGGAGCAGAAGCACTGTCGTTTATAAAGCAAACGATTAATATACCGGGTTCACCCGGGTTCCTGGTATGATGTGCCATGATATAAGAACCGGTTTAACATGGCACAGCCATGGTGAAACCATGCAAAACCCAGACATGATCGGGAAAAGTGGTTCAGAAGTTGCTGGCACTATGGGATGTGCAATCACCACTGCTGCTAGCCACTTCAGATTCCTTGCTGAGGCCACGGATGACAGATCCTATTATTTCATAAAGGTGAAATATATGATAAAAAGCTACCTGGATTTGGATGCTGATGTTTGGCATGATGATCATACCACTTACTGTACGCATCGAGTGACAGGGACCAAGACCACATTGTCTTCCCTTTTCTGCCGCAGGATGAAATGTTCTCTTAGAATAGCGTACTTGGGCGGGTAACAATCTAAGTTGCCCTCCTAACGTAACCTGACTGGAAACCGAACCAAAAGTCAAATGCTCAAGGTGTTACCTGACGATCTACACCTATCAGATCCTGCAGGCCCAAAGGATGGCGATGCTCGACAGGATTTCAGTCCTTGGGCTGGTTTCAGAGGCTGATTTTGAAGCTGAGAAATGTGGACATGGTGGAACAAGCGTGTTCATGTTGTTTATGTTCATGGTGTTTTGGGGTTTGGACCCAATCAAAGGATTGTTTGGTGAGTAACTAGATGATGCAATGATTTGTGTTAACGGTAGATTCCTATCTGGAGTTTAGAAGGTCAAAATGTGAATGGCCTTTGGTCCAAGCTTTTCTTGTTTTGGAGACGCTCATATAAGGACCAGTTGTCCTTGATCGTGTCTCTGGCCCCTTGTGGGATCTACAAATCCGAAATAAGATCTTTGGCCGCAAGCCATCCCAGTGTCATTCGGTTGGCTCCGCCCAGACTTGGCCGGCTGCAGGCTTAGCCAAAATAGTTCCAGTCTTGACTGGAACCAAACTACTTTTCTTTATTTTGCAAAATACTAAACATCATCTTTTGGAAGCCTACCGAGAGTGAGCATTGATCCTGGACCCAATTTCTTTTCAGTTGTTCGGAATCAAGGCAACTGAGCCTGCTGATTCTAACTATTTGGGATGGATTTGGGAAATCACCGCTCCATTTGTGTTGGCCCGTTGGCCCGATCCCCAAGCCCACGGATTGAATCCCACCTTTCCTTTGTTTCATCTTCCTATTTACGTCACTTCATATCTCCAGGGTTGCTTGTTGGACAACATCCCCATTTTGGACCCAAGACCAAATCAAACGATGCGTTGACAGCTGGCATGTTTCAGGAAACTGCTCAAATTGATTTCTACCCCAAAATTGAAGGTTCAACTCCAACACCAATGATAGCTTTATCCGTGGGGATCTGTGTGCCTGATTCATCATTCATCATGAATTGGAATGGTTCCAATGGTTACCTATCAAGCAATCGACCAATCGAAATTTTTGCGGAGGTGAAGTTGGTCACGGGCCCGCGGCCGACAACACCTGGATCATTGCCTCGGCAGATTTTACTGACCATGGCCACCTGGTGGGAAATGAGCCAACCGACCATAGGAGTGAACCAACCCAAGAATTTGGATGAAGCAACCAAAAGCGAGACTCAACTGACCCAAAAAACGATTCCCACAACTTTAACAGCAGAAACCCAGCAAATTGTATCATCAAAAAAAGTGGTAGGAAGCTCATGGATCTTATGGTATAGCAGGCCGGGGTGCAGATATCTGAAGTAACCACCACATTTTGCGCCAAAATCCTTTGGGTTATGTTGGATTTTCAAATCAGCCAAATATATCCAAATGTATCCAAATGTCCCAATATCATTGAGTGGCCCAAAACGAACACAAACGTGTCTTTCTGAAATCACAGGAGGTTTCGGACCGAAACCTGGAAGATAGTCATGAAACTTTACAGTTTGCTCTAATGCTGTGTAGATCTGGTCTGGCTTCCACTGGCTTAAAGCTCAAAGGGACACCACCAAAAAGACCTTTGATTGATAATTGATTCGTGACCCAGGTGATTTCACAATCACGATGGAGGAATCAGAGATCACCTCTGTGCTTGGGCGACAGTTTCTGCACGAAGCCTCAACAGGCTTTACCGATAAAAATGGGGGCTGAACCAGAAATGGTAGCGTTTCTAATCGAGCTGAAAATGGCGATTCGCCCTTGACTTGAGTGAACCTGGGAATGGTCGCTGGAATCCGCTGGTTATTTGCCCACTGGGCCATCCACAATCTAAGACACTTGGCCAAGCTACAGGGGAATACAAGTAACATCAAGTATCTATGCATTTATATTTATGGGCATGTTGCTATGCATTTTGTTTGGCTGCTCAATCAAACCCCTCCCTCTGATCAATGGTTGTACTCAATGTCATTAGATGGGAGACAGCCAAGCCCTCAATCATGCAGCTATCTCGGGATGGCCATTTTGTTGGGCCACGTGTTGACTGTGTTGGCGAGCAGGCCCAGCAGGCCCAGCAGGCCACCGATACTGAGGATGATGAAGACGAGGACTACGATCCTTATGAGAACCGAGCGGAGACTTGGCAACGCAAAATTTGAGGGGAAAATGTCAGTTGGTAGTGAAGCGGGGATATGCGGGGATACAACCCCTCAAAATAAGTTTGTCAACCAATCATCAAAATCTTAGTGGTAGAAGCCATCAAAGTTGAATGTGACTGTTTGGCAATCCTGCCTGGCCCGTCACTCCCACGACGGGGGTCACCCCCATGAAAGCAGTTAACAATCGTGATGACTGACCAGTGGCAGAATTCGAGGGGTAATCAAAAATGCCGATCTGCCTGTGCATGGCAAATCACAGCGACCACAGATTCCACAGATCCATCATTGCTTCATCACATCCCCACATGAAGAAGACAGATTTGGAATACGTCCTCATGAACCGACGCATACCCAATACAAACCAACATATTCAGGAAACAGGAGGGCCACAACATTGCGGACGCATTTTGAGGTTTGATGAGGTCTGATGTTTAAGCAATTTTAAGCACCTGTTCAACGTTAGCCAAGGCGTGGGATCATTGCTACCGAGGCAGGTTTGGAAAGACCACCCAGACGGGTGACGGAACCGCAAACTGATGAGAAGATATGAGAAGCAACGGATTTTGGATATTTTTTGCCAGATGTTGCCAGATGTTGCCAGGACATGAGAAGTTGGGGGTGATTTGAGCTGGAAAGATGGTGGTTTTCACAGCAAATGCCCGGCGAATGTGTGGTTTTTGTGGGGCGGTTCACTTTGGTCCATGCCCATGGGTTGTTCTAGAAGCCCTTGTTCCAGTTAATCCAATCCCGCATGGTTGCTGCTTGAACACCCCTTTGTGATGATTGCCGATAGCCACAGCATCCAATTTCCAACTTTTGGTAAACAACCCTAGCAATGGAACCCCGAATCCCCTTATCTTCCACAGGAAAAAGCAAGAATAAATCAATACATTACATGTACTGTATATAGAATGTATCTATATATATATATACATACAAATATATACACCATAAACCAAGATTGCTGAAGGGTAGGTATCCCAGCCGAATGCATAATTAGCAGGCACAGTACAGATGGATGGCTCTGACTTTCGCATGACCATTACCTCCATGGAGCGCCCCTGGACCGGATGGGCATACCATGTCGCACATAAGACAGCTTGAAACCCCGAAGTCAACATGAGTTGGGACCGATACATATGGATACTATGATAACCCCCGGAAAATCTAAGTTTGGTCTCAAAAAAATGGGCTGAGAAATGTTGAGAATATGGTTCTTTATAATTCATGTTGAACTTGCCATTTTCAGATTGACAGCAACCCGGTCTTTTCCTCTGGCTCCGGTTCTTGCTTTTCTATGCCTTCCCGCACCCTGAAATTCTTTAGCTTTCATTGTCTGCTATACTCTTGCTTCCTGTTGCCGTCATTTCCTTTCTGCCACCTTGTTAAATGCGAGAATTGGACACAAGATAAGTGCAACATGGAAAGACAAAAATGCTGAGAAACCAAAAAAAGGAAGCCCTAAAACTTTGACAAAGGGAGCAAACACAAAAAAAGTATCAAAATCTTGACAGAGCAGGAAAGCAAAGAATAGCCCTGGACCTTCGAAAATGCCAAGTACATCCGAGTACAACATTACACAGGCCAACAAAAGATTCACAACATGCCTTGATGGTCACACATTTCTTGCGCAATGCCACTTAAATTGAAAGACCGGTTTGGGTTCCATGTGTTGATATCATTTGCAATTGGAACTTAGTTCAACCAACAGGCTGGTGGGCGGTTGGTCATTTCCCACGGGACAGGTGCTTCAATCAGCCCGAAATGGTGGAACCTTAGGTTGTTTCCAGAGGGGTCTGACCAAAAGTGCCTTCCTACAAAAATGGTGAACGCTTGACCCCACAAGTTTGGCCGCAGATGGAGTGAGCATACAGGATCAATATTCAAGAACACCCAAGCGTACAAAGACTTGTTTCATGTTACTGGCTGCTGTTGTTTGGCCCTGTCAAATTCTGTCAAATTATGAAAGCCATGAAGAAAATTATAATTGCGGCCATCTACTTGGCGTTGATACTTCTGCCCGTAGACCCTTGCGCTGTGGAGCCTTCGGTAGCCAAGGTAAAGGGATTTTTGACGACAAGCTGAGTCATGGTGACGAGCTGCTGGGCAAGCTTGGCCACAACCAGGCCGCTGCATCCAGCAATTGGGAAGCATGTAGAGGCATATCTTGGGAGTGAATTGCGGCTTCACACATTGAACAAGATTTCCTTTGAAAGGGGTCCTCAAGGTAAAAGGGGTCCTGGCCATGTTTCCTCCCTGCGCACCGCATGCGCGCGCCAAAAAGGTCCCAAGCATGAAGCAAATCGTGTTAAATTGACACATTCCATCTAAAAAGTGGGCCACGTGTTCAGCCATTCATAGAGCACTAGAATGGACCTACTACCAACCATTCATTCGATGCGGTTTGCTATGTGTAGATTTTTTTTGTGCAGATAGATATAGATAATTATCGATATATGTGTGTCTGCGCGTGCACATGCATATTCTATGTACATCTGCTGGCCGAAATAGCTGGTTTGATGATAGGCGCCCAATATCGTGGGGTTCTTTCGGGTCGGTACCGAGAACAGTCCTATGCAATCCTTTTTGTTCTTTGTTTGCTGCACGAATGTTGGCTTTTGCTCTCTTGTTCCTGATTTAGGGTGTTGCCATGTCTGCCTCTTTGGCATGTTTGCGATGATTTCTTTGTTTCATACTTTCATGTACATATGTTCATCTATCAATTTTAGCAACATCTTCTAAGTGTTTTGCCTTTGTTGCTCAGCCCTTCAAGCATTGGGGTTCCTGCCTGAAGGTGGAGTTGCAACTTCCTTTCGCCGCGGGGGGTTGTCCCGCGGACCAGTCCGGTGATGATGGCAGGTGCTCCAAATACAGGATCTTCCCAACAAATCATGTAACAAAAAGATGGGTTGGAAGCTGCTTTTGCTGCTAGAATGGCCACTTGGGAGCTGCCTACCGTTGATGGAATGATATGTTTGCCTCAGCGAACAGTTTGGGTCATAAATCCCATCAACAAAACATTGACCGGGTGAACTGCCAACTGTTGAGTTTGATAGTTGGGAATTGTTTGGAAAGTCACGATCCTTGTTTTTTTTAGTATCTTTAGTGACATTGGTGTGTAGGTTTGGCTACACTTACCGTTATTGTGTCCCACGCTGCTCATCTTTTCGTTGTGAAGAATTGTACGACAGTTTGTTCCAGTTGCTTGATTGTAATACATTGTAGTTATTTTGATCAAGGATCGATTTATTAGCGAGGTATATATATATTATACATATATTATATATATGCATATATATATATTATACATATATATATATATATTATATATATATAAATATTATATTGTATGATATTATATATACACATTATATATATATAGGCTCAAGGCTGGGGGTTCCCCGGAGCTTCGAGGAACCCTCAGTCTTGATGCTATACCAGAAAGGTCGTTCTTGTATACAGATGGGGGGGGTGGGGGGGGGGGTAATAACGTCATGTGAAGTGCGTTGGATGATGTTGAATCCTGGAAGATGTTGCTTGGTTGGAAGATGTTGCTACGTTTCAAGTTTCGTTGTTGTTTACAAAAGGGGGGTGGGGGGGGTGGGGGGGGGGGTAATAACGTCATGTGAAGTGCGTTGGATGATGTTGAATCCTGGAAGATGTTGCTTGGTTGGAAGATGTTGCTACGTTTCAAGTTATTCGTTATACAGAAGGGGGTGGGGGGGGGTGTAATACGTGTTTCTACTACTGAACAGAACGACCAAAATAAACGAAACCGCACTTCAAATGGTTAGCATGTTCCACACATCTTTAGTCATCCATGGGAGATGTAAATTTTCCTGTTTCAGCACGGACAAACGTCAAGTTCTTCCGCGATGAAAATGAAAGTTCGATTGATCAAACCATTTCAGAGAAAAACATAAAACACTGTAAAACACAGTGTAAAAACAACATTTTCCATCGCCATGCCAAAAAAAAGGTTTGGGAAAGCGAAGATGAAAAATATGTGATGTTCATTTCGTCCATGGTTCTCCAGTGGATTATGACATTTTGTACTTATCAACAAAAACTGAAAAAATGTATGAAACCGCAATTCCAATGGGAAAAATGTTGAACGCATTTTTGGCCATCCATGGAAGATGTAAATTTATCATTTGTCTGCGCGGACAAACTCCGAGTTTATCCGCGCCGACATTGATACTTTCAGTGATGGAACACTTTCAAGGGAAGGCAAAAAACACTGTAAAACACAGTATAAAATCAACATTTTCCATATCCATACAATTAAATTGCAATTGGCTTCCGGGGAACCCCCAGCTTCCGCCCTATATATATACACATTGTATTATATATATATATATATATTCTACTATGGGGTGCTTGTGCTCCGATTATTTGAGGGTCAAAGTCCTTGGTGTCTGGTTGCTTCCTACTTCCCGCCAAGGCAACTCCGGCCCGGGCCCGGGTTTGCTGTGGATCACCTTAATGCAAGACATCCTTGGAAGATCGGCGCCCAAGTGGGACCAAAGAATCACTGTAGCCCCGCGCCAAAGGCGCAAGATGAAAGGTCAGCTGAAGGAAAAAGTGAATCACCTGAAGATTTCCAGCTTGGTAAGTCTAGTGCCTGCATGGCAGTTGAGAGAAAAGTGGATCTTCACACAGAATTGCAGGTTTTTAAAGAAAGAACATGGGGCATTTCTGAGATGGCAATGTCTTCCGATCCCGACCATCATTTTGTGCATGGATTAGAGAGAGAGAGAGAAAAAAAAAAAACAATACTTTTCCAGGATGTCATGTGCTCCATGATGTTCGTAAAATACCTATCTTTCTTACTTCAATTCCATGGTCATGTTCTTTCGCGTGGCCCGTGGTATCTTCATGTTTTTCTTTTAAATGTGTTTTTTTGCCTTGGCAAATTTAGTGTCCATTGTACATTATATTGCTATTGAACGCCATTGATATACCTGCGTTTTCCTGCTGAAACATGTTTTGGAGCTCAAATCCCTTCTTTCCCAAAATCCAACCAGCTGTGTGGCTTCCCTTTTTTCACCCGCGTTTGGTTCGCCATCAGCCAGGCCTTAACCCCCACAAACCGATCCGATGTCCTGGCGGCGGTATTGGAGATCATCAGCCGGCGTGGGGAAACTGAGGTGGTGGATCCAAGGGTCCAAACTGGGTAACAGTTCTTTACCAGAAAACATCAGAATTCAGGGTCTATTTTTTGAAAAGTCCTCATAGAGTAGATGGAGGTGGATCGTAACAATGATGCATAAGCCCCGCGGGGTTGCACCCAAATAAGCATCAGACAGATTAAGATATATATATATTATACCCTACAAACCCGAAAGACCAGTTTAACCTGTCCACATTGGTTAAGAACAAGTTTAACTTGATCATTTGAAATTGCGCTCTCCAATCACATTTCTAAATCCTTCTAACCACTTGCTGTCAACACTTCAGCAACATCACTGTTTTGAATCTATCTTGAGAGAGACTTGGTTCATAGAGACATGCATATAGTGCTATGACAGACTGCATTTGATATTGGGAACCTGCAAAAAGATGGAAACCATTTGCCCGTTCATGCATGTTCATTGAGCGTCCCCGGATCATTCACGGGTGCTTCACGGATGCTTCACGGGTGCTTCACGGGTGTTTCACGGGTCGCTCACGGTACAAAATCAGTTTTTCGGGTCTCTGACCCAGTTTTTTGTGTCTCTAACACACTGGTCTCACGGGTGGTTCACGGGTGGTTCACGGGTGGTTCACGGGTGGCTCACGGGTGGTTCCCGGGTGGTTCACAGGTGGTTCACGGGTCGTTCACAGATGGTTCAAGGGTGTTTCACGGCTTGTTTCGGGTTGTTGACGGGACGTTCACGGGCTGTGGGCAGCTGTAAAGGGCGATTGCAAACAATAAAATTGATATAAATTGATACCAAGAGCCCTGGAACTCAACCAGTTGGGAGAATGATTTGCAGTGATCGGTCGATAAAACGCATTTGTCCACTGCATCAACGGAGCTTTGGTCAAAATTAGCTCAAGTAAAGTACGTTCTTTTGCAAGTAAAACATGTTCATTGAAACGATCAAGTTTAACGAGGTCTTTGGTTCGCAGGGATAATAAGGCGTGTCTAACGCCGGCCAAGACTTGGAGGAGATTGGGACATGCATGGGCCATTACTTCTGACCACTGATGTTTGGTGCATGTTTGGGAGAAAGAGATGCACACAGGTGGTGGGAAGAAAGAAGGTTCGGGTCAAAGGGGGTTTCAAATTGAATCACCTCTCCAGTGTTTTTGCACTTGGCTGACTTCGAAGTTTGGACATTGGGGTGGCCTTGAAACTGACGGATTTGGGAATGGTTCAATATACAAAAACTGGGGAAGCACAGATTGGCAATTGCTGTCATGACACCGACCATCCTGTTTTGGCGGGTAATGATAATATCTCAAAATAACCCCAATGTCTTCAATGATTCCATACCAAGGTGAAGCCAAGCTGACGCCCCAGCAGGCGGGAGACTATCCCTTTACTCTGCTCAGTGGGGCCGAAATTGAAAATCATTGGAAGTGGGGGTTGTTGGGAGATGTGTACCTGTAATATATATATATATATATACATACATATACATACACACACAACACATACATACCATGCATTTACCATGCTATTGATCTGGACGTAAACTTCAGGGTTCATCCCAGCAGGTGGATCGGATTTTTGAAGCCGTGGGAACAGCCAACTTGGACTTAGCAGTTATGCCTGTTTTTGCTGTTGGCCCGTTATGCGGGAAGCTGTTTATGCAAGCCACTGAATTGACAACTGCCATATCAGAATAATAATAAATCAAACACACTTGATCCTCACAACTTTCGCCGACGTCCTCTTGTATCCATCATTGTCCATCGGCGCGTAGATGTCTTGGTGCTTGGGACCCTGCCAGGTTGCCTATGCTGCCTACAGCGTGGCGGCTTTGCAAGGCCTCAATCGCTGGGAAGCTCAGCCAAGTAGTAATTTCAGTTGCGAGCAGGATTGGAATTGTATTGCCTGCAGGTATTTGTTGGTTTGGCGAGATATGGATACATATCGACCCGCACTTGTTCTGGATATAGTGTGTAGGTAGATAGGTAGATAGATAGATTGATTGATTGATTGATTGATAGATTGATAGATTGATAGATTGATAGATTGATAGATTGATAGATTGATAGATTGCTAGATTGATAGATTGATAGATTGATAGGTTGATAGGTTGATAGATTGATAGATTGATTGATGTATTGATTGATTGATAGGTAGGTAGGTAGGTAGGTGTGTATGTATGCCGCCATCCTTTGGCACAGTTCCATGACTGTGTCGCTTTCAGCAACTCACTCTGAAATATCGACCCCAGGTTTACTGGTTAATGTTCGACTCATGCATTTGAAGAAGACCGCAGAAATTACAGTACGTTACCTGAAAGTCTCCTGTTTGATTATATGCTGTTCATGGCCTAGCCTCAAAGCGACAAAACTCATCACAGCAGAGCACGAAAGATGGGATGCTTAATTATCACAATCATCACCAGCACCATCACACTATCTTAATGAGAAGAGCAATGATGATAATGACAGGCACCACCATCAGCACCATGAACCCCATCAACGGCAAGAACAACTATGCGTGCTCCCTCACCCTTCCATATACATCTATATACAGTATCATGATGTATCATCTACTTAGTCTGTATTTATTATCCTTCGTCCATCACTCACCATCACTCACCACTCACCAATCATTCCACCATCCAATCGCCCAGGCTCAGAGGCAGCCTTGGCCGCCGTGGAGGTGCAGCCCCGATGACCAGAACCAAGCAAGGAAAAAAGGCAGATTTATCAGATACCGTTGATACCGTTATATGTATGTTTTTTCTTTCCATGCTTTATCCATGTTCTAAACATGTGTATCCAGCCTTATCCCACTTATCAGGCCAAAATGACCTTCAATTCAGCTTTTCATATTCGTGCCAATGGCCTTTTCTTGGACTTCGATATGTGCCAAGTCACAGGTCTCCACATTGGATGAGGACGAGAATTTGGCGCCTTTGGCGGTGTGAGGCCCTGGTGCGAAGTGGAATTCCGCAGCAACGGGGCAATAGGGTTTTGAAAATTATTGGATCCCTCAACCTTCCTGTTTCGCCAGTAAAGCTGTGAATAGTGGGGTTTGTTTAGGCTTGACCAGCTTGGGGAGCAGTCTTCCATTGATGCCATGCAGGGCCATGAGCAGGTAGCTGTGTAGAGAAACCGGAAAAAAGACATTACAGAGATAGACTAACCCAGACAGGCAAACAGAGATTGATGCCGATGAGCTTGGGTCAAAATTCCAGATCCTCCGAATCACAGGTTTTGGTTCGGCTTTTAGTCTTACACCATCCCATTTTGAGGCCCGAACAGAACTGACACATCCCCAAAGAATGCGCCATTGATATCGCTGATATCACCACGCGCGCTCCCATTTCACCAAGGAAGTCCTTTTCTTCCAGGGGATGGACCTAGCCGAGGTGGGCATGATGCTGGAGGGATGCTTGAAGGGTTCCTTTATCGATGGACAGGGGTTTTGCCCAGGGTTTTGGAAAGATGGTACTTGTATCGTCTGATTATCTTTTCTTTGTGGAAAATAATTGAATGGGGGTGCAAACTTTATAAGACACACGCAGCTGCTTGAGCTTTTTATATTGCTTTGGACCCATCATCTCTGTATCATCTCTGTTAGACATTCAATTTTTGGTAGGGAAGAAACCAAACTGACTATCATGAGGTTTTCAAGATGGCCGCCCCGCGTTCTTGGAATTGGCTGAAATATGTTGACACTAAGAATCAATCATTTGAAGGGCGGAGAAATATAGGAAACTTGCGCACCGTTGCATTGCTACCCTTAATTTTTCCCGGCTACACCATGCCCAAGGGATTTACATGTCTGGTTGCACACCCTATGTATGTTTTGTGGATCTGCGTGGGCTTACAGATGTTTATGGTAGATCTGTCCATTGCAATTTGCTGCGTTGGTTTCCATCACGTCTGTTCATCTCATCAGGCGAAGGCTTTAGTGGTGGACACTGCGCTGGGGTGCACAGCCTGCCATGAGGTTTTTGATGATTGGGGGGGGTTAACCAACATTCATAGGAATGTTTATATTGCCGAGCAGTGTGAGGGGTGAACCAGCATCGTCTGCTGGATGTTGACTCAGGATTTCATGCCCCTGGTCGATTGATTGAATGTGGGGCGCACCGGGTTCTCACAAGAACCCATAGGCTTTGGCTATTTGTGGTGGGCCAATCAAATTCAAATTCAGAACATGCAGGCCAAGGATTTTGAAACTGCCGGGCGGGGCCGTGAAACGCTTTGTCCAGATCTGTATGTCGGAGCCTCGCCCCTAAGAATGCTTACGACACTCTGACAATCAACAGCATAGTGATAGATATATCATACATCGCTCCTGTATCAATATAGCTCCAGGGAAAAATCAAGCCCATAGGACTGGTAGGGCTTTAGGCGTAGATGTCTTTGTGACCGAGGGAGCGCTTGCCGCGGGTCTCGGCAAAGGCTTTGCGACAGGCGGGATGTACAACTGCCAGGCAGTTGGATGAACAGTTTTTGGGCCACCACCAAACAGCAAACGATTTTGAAATGGCTTCAAAAGCATTGAAATATTCATATAAATCAAAGTTGGACTACACTCTTGTCATCTCTTGTCTACATCAGGATGGGTATGGTAGTTGGATCTACAGCACCAAATTACCAAGGGCGTACTTTGTGGAGGATGTGGAGGGCCATGTCATGTCTCCCGTTGTGACATGTTGCGACCATCCGGAACCTATTGCAGCTTTGTGTTCGAGTGCACTTGCATCACGGCCAAGACGTTTCCAATACCCAAATCAATGACGGTTTCGCTGAGAATGTGGAAATCAGAATATGTTTGGAAAGCATGCGTCCTTGCCAATGTGCAAGTTCCAACAAAGTCCGTAAATAGACAGCAGTGTTGTTATCGACTTAAGTTTGGATGTTCACAACATGTGAAGTGTAAGGTGCGTCCCTTGCCCCAACTAGATTTTCGATGTTTCAGGCCCCAACTGGTGACCTCGGTGACTCCGGCATTCATCCAGAAGAGGGGTAGCCATCTCGTGTCTACTGTTAGGCCTTCTGGCATTTTCAACAGCTCCAAGATTCTTCAAGGCCTGGTGGGAAATGGCCCGAGATCCTGCGGCTTGGGCCCAGTTTTTCACAGATGTTTACCCATTCCAATTCACAAATGGCCCAAATGGCATTACATTTGTCCCAATACATGCGAGGTGGGACCCCACCAGCATCTTTACGTTTGTGCACCTTGTCGTCACCCAGCACTACTTCTTTCGATCATGCTCCAACACAATGATGGCCAGCGATTTCGACTAGCCAGATCTGCATGTTTCCCTGGCTGACTCATGCCGGTAAGTGGTAGGGGGCCGTGATTGTATGTTAGGCTCTCCGGTCCGATCCCACCGCAGGCAGCTAGTGAGAAGCCGGATCATGGACGATTTTGAAGGCCGCAGAAGGGACATCTGGGAATTTGAAACCCAATCGAAGGATATGAGGCCCCATATTCGACCAACTGTCGCTATATTAAAGATCAAGTATGGAAGCGGTACCAACCCAAAATGGTGGCGTGGGCAACAACCATTGCATGTTTCATGAAGAATTCCTTCATGCGGCCTTGATGCCACATGGGCAAAAAAAACAACGGATTTGATGGGAAACGTGAAAATTCTACTTCGCTAGCTGACTGGGGGTGTTGAAATGCAAAATGTAACATGTCTCCATTTTGGATCAGACACAACACTATTTCCCATAGTCCCATAGCTTCAATTGCAGGGGCGTACCGTGAAGGATCTCTCCCTTTCCACAATGTTGTGCAGGTGGGCCTGCCTTCAGCGCATATCGAGATGCCCAGGAAGCGGGGTTTGAAGAGGGAGCTGGAAATTACAAACCCACGGGTACAGCTGCACATCCCAACACCAAGGATATAAACCAGACACCTTGCGCCTCCAAAAGAGCGATGCAGCGATGGTTGCGATGGTTGGGGGTCTATGGTCCTTTATATGAACCGAACAACTCCTAACGACGCCGAAACATTGGCGATGGTCATGCTTTTTCAACCTGTCTGCAAGACCGCCCAAAATCGCGCAACGGGGAATAACAGACTATATAAATGCCTCTCAAGTTGCTTTTCAAGGGACAGCAAGAGGCACGAGGATACATTGTATGTTCTTGTCGACTTCCAACTGTTTTGGCTGAAACCAGCCTAGATTTAATATGGATAAAAAGTATAACTAATAATTTAACCCCTCAAGAATGAGGACATGGCAACGTCCCTTGAAAGATTATTGCTGGAAATCCATGACTATGAGGACTTGGACCATGAAGTGGGGTTATGAAGCAACCATCAGCGGGTCCCTTGAACGTTAATGCACCATTCTGAAATTGCATGAATTGCAACAAAGATCCGCAAAGACTTGGAAGGGTCATGGACTGAGAGGTTGTCTTAGTCCTTTGACCGTCTCCCTTTTGCAGGCTTTCCAGGGTCTCCAAGTGGCAACCGCCCATGCAATTTCTGCAGGGGCGGAGGCGGGGCCTGAAGTCTGGAGTATGGGAAAGTCGGGCAGGAGAAGGTTCAGTCTCAAAATTTGTATCTTTTGGTTCACATTCGAGCGTTCATCTATATGATTTGAGGCGCTTGGCCTACAAGAAAGATCAGCTCCAAGTAACTAATTTACCCCATAATTATCAGCACATTGAATAAATTTGTAGCTCCATTGGTATTTGAATTTGGTGCCATGCCCTTTTGCTGGAGGTTGCAAGCATGAATACCCCTTCAAGAAATAAAGGTTGGCTAGATATGGGATTTCCACCCGCTCTGATTGAAGTTGAAAATCCACACGTATGGTTTTCTGAGAAGGTCAAGGAAGAAGTAGGACCACCATTACGCCAGACTTCAGAGCATTGACAGGCGCAGCAGATGCTGTCCTATCACATGGCCAGCGGCTACAGCTACAAACAGGCGCACCGGGACATACAGGATTTCAGAATATTTCACATAGCCGGGCGGCCAGCAGTGTGTTGGTGATGAGTCAAAACTAAGCACTCAAAGCATAAAGCCAGGTAGGCTTTACCGGATCTTTGCCAAGGCGCCCAGGTTTCACACACATTCCCATAGCGTTGTTGATCCGATCCCCTTCCTATGTCCTTATGGGTTCATCCTAAAAATTATAAAGTTAATATGTGTTTCATGCCTTTTCAGACAAGGCCAATGCGGCTTGTAATTGTAGGAAAAGCTGAACATGTGTGGATTTTCCAGATAGGCCGCAGGTGTCTCAAGCTTTTTTTGGCTTCAACACTTTTGGTACGCAAAAGGTCCAGCCTGTGGTGATTTGTGAGTTTGAAGGTTCGCCCATTTGTAAGAATCCGCTTTCTGCCCGAAACGTGTCAAACGCGCTGCAGGCACTGAAACTTCTGGGCGCAGAGGTTCGCAGATGGAAGCGGCTTATGCAAGAGCGCACTGCAGTTGTGATGTGAGCAGCGACGGACCCCAGGACCCCATGAAAACTGAAAGGCAATCCCACTTGGCTGCGTCTCATCCATGAGCGCTCTTTCTTGCAAGTAGCTGGGCCCTCAACATGTTGTTCATCCTCATAAGTATCAAAGTCAAAATCATAATATAATCATAATATAGTATAGTATATATATATATATTATTTATTTATTTATTTTTTATACATGATATATATATGCCATAATAATCAATAATAATCATCACCATGATCATCATCAGCAGCAGCAACAGAAGCATCATCATCATCATCATCATCATCACTATCATCATCTTCATGTTTTTCCTACTGTTATGATGTTGTTCTTGTTTGTCCTTGACATGTTCATCGTCACCATGATCATTGTCGTCAACAACTACCATCGCTATCATGAGTATCGTCATGACTATGGTCATGACTTTTGTGGTTCTCATCACTGTGAGCAGTTGGCACTATCACAGTCTCATTCTGATTGCTTTGCTCACTATTAACGCCGTCATCATCATCATGTTTCTTCTTTGGCATGATGATGTTCAGCATTATGTTCTTCTTCTACTTCTTATTAATACGTGTCTTCTTTTTCTTCTTCTTCGTCATCAGAATGAATCTTCGGAATATATTATTATTCTATGTCAATCATATCATGTCCATTCATATTGCATCATACAGGCTTTGCTTAAATGATGTGTGTCTTGGTCATATCGCCACGCGTGTCCAGCATCCTCACATCTCCGACATCTGCTTATCACAGCAGGGGAACATCACGGAAGAGCTGACGCTGGCAGGAGCTGAAACCGCGATGGATTCCAGGGTTCCCGAAACTGAAACTGAGGAGACCATGGTAAAGGAATGTAAAGAACGAAGGTTTATGCATTGATATGGATTGATTTTAGCACATGTGAGCAATATTGATGTGTAACATTGTGTAACCATCTATTGCGCAGGAAAAGAAGAAGTCCAGCTCAGCAGTGGTTCGGGTATCCACTCCTGATACCGCCACAAAACATTGGGTCACCAAGGAATATTCCACGAAAAACAAATGAACTTGGCAAGAGCGGTCAGACAGCCCCAATTCTTGGCCGTATTTGCAATATATATATATTTGTAGCACCATTTCGCAGAAGCTATGAGCTGCTGACCATTAGGACAGCGCCTGACAGAGCAGCTCGCCGTCCCTGCGGTGCCGCGAGCCCAAGAAGGTCGAGAGGGACGCATAGACCCAGGATCCGCTTCGGCCTCTCTGAATCTTTCCAACAAACGGATGCTGCATTTTTTTAGTTTGAAAATTCGGCGCCGGACAGGTGTGTCAACAATGAAAGGTAGCTTTTGGCAATAATTCATTCGTATGTTTTCATATGCATTTATATAAGCATGCATGCACGCATCCATCCATCCATCCGTACGTACGTACATACATGCCTATGGCAGAAATGTCTTTAATTGCATTCCCCGATGCGCCTGAGGCAATCTGTAGACAGTTCCTGGTTCCAGAGCACAGGAGATGGGTGCAGTTGGTTATTGACGAGGGTTGAATTTGCGACAGGCGGCTTTTATTTATTGACAGAGCAGCTGTTCATAACTAAAACGGCGACCTTTAACTTTAGTTTGATTTGGGCCTTTGTTTCTTATATCACAACCACAGTAATAGAATAGGATACAGCATTTCTTGACGTTCACTTGTTCCTGCTTGGGTTCCTGCTTGGGTTTCTACTTGGCGGTGGAGTGCAAGAAACCTTCCATGGGTAACTAAGCATCCTAGCAGAAGGTCTATTCGGTTCCAGCTGTTGGGGGCTCGAGCTGCCGACCTGGCAAAGGTATCGCAAAGGTGTGAAGACAAAGGTAGAGCGAAAAACATCCAACGAAAAAATCCGACAAAAATCCAGCAAAGGCCTCCAAAGGTCTCCAACCTAAAGCGGACTGAATCTTGGCAGTGGTAGTTGGGGAATTGCGGTTCCACCAGCTTTCACCTTCGGTGATAGGTTCGAAACCCTATGAGTATGCTCTGCAAAGGCAAACCTCCATATCCACAGAGCGTTTCTGTATATGTCAACTCAACCCTCGACACGGCATCCTGCAAGTATCATCGGAAACATTAGTTTTCAGCTGTTCCAACCATTCCAACCTGCCATGGTGGAAGCAAAGGTGTTCCGGACCTGCTGGGATGATCAGTTCAGTTCAGTCAGGGCGGTGGAACTCATGACAAGCAAAGTAACCTTTTGACCTGCTCCTAGACTTCCAATAGCCTGTCAAAAACATGCATACCTATGTCATTTATGGTTGTTTCGAGATTTCTACGGGTTACATGCGGGTATCAACTCATGGTTCGAGGCTACATCTTATTTTATCGTCATGAAATATGTTCCCCCGGATGTCGGTTCGTGGTACTTGCTGTCATACAGACCCATGTGCTGATGGAAAGCGCCTTGTAATATCTGGTCTGTTAGTACGTACATGCACAATGGGAGTATATGTTGTTATTTTGTTGGATATGTATACAATGCATATGGTGATCGATCTACAGGTCCTTGTAAAGAGCTTTAACTGCGAAGGCCGTTCATGTTATGCTGGGAACCCTCGCGAAAGTTTTTTGCGAGTTTGCGAAAGAAATGTTTTTATTCGCCAAAGTTTCGCGAAAGCTGGATATTATGAATCATTATCATTGTATACACTACAGCTTGTTAAGGGCTACCACCTCCTGCCGCCCGGGGGTCCGGCAGGAGAATGGTACTGCACATTTACCTTTCCCTTCATAGGTAGCAGCCAAGCTTCCGAAGGTGAGGCTTCGCTACAGCCAAATACTACGGTCTTGAAGCGCATCCTTGCACCTGCCGCTCGTACTGCCTAACGTTGCCTTCTGAAGTTTCAAAAAGCAAGCTCCAAATGCAGCAGCCAAGCTTCCAAAAGTGAGGCTTTGCGAGAGCCGAACACCAAGGCCCCTGGCGTTTGCTTTTCCTCTGATGCGCCCCCTGCTGGTGGCTGGGGTCTGCGGATAGGGGTATTTGCGCGAAAGTTCTGTGAAGGAGTGGGCGAAAGCCAAAGTGCATTTTGAAGGGAGTGGCCCAGTAAGCCTTGCAACAAAAATTGCCTATATAATCAGCAGCTACCTGTCCTGAGAAGGGGCGTGATGCTAGCTGCATGTTTACAAGGCTATGAAGAAGTTATACGTGATAATTTGGTGTGATTTGGCAGGTGGTGACTGAATCTTCATAACAGGAGTTGTTGCCCAGCATGGGCTCTGTGAGAGATAACCACGGAGTTCGCGAAATATTTGTCTATCCGCAAAGAATGTCCGTTTGCAGATAAAGGAATTTAGATCAACCGCCATATATATATATATATATATATTCTACACATATGTGGTCATTGTGTTTCTTGATTGCTGATTATGTCCTTCATGTAGGTCTTCCCTGGTGGGTAGTTCTACTACCAGCTGGATGCCATGTGAAGGCCGAATTGCGGGACTTCCTGCGGCATCGCTGCGGCAATCTGAAGGTGCCTGGCAGTGCCTGATGTGTGCTGCAGGTTGGCTACAGCTGACTTGATTGTAGAAACCATTGGGGAGACGTTGTTGGGAGGAACCCAGGAATTCATTAGAATCCTGGGTTTTGATCATCTTTGCGTAGGGTTGATCCAAGCACTTGCTGCAAAAAGTTGTATAAGCTGGGCCCTATGATTTCAATAATTTTCGTTGCGGACCGCGTAAACTGCCACAACTGCGCGCAAATTGATAACGATTGTGTATGCTCAATTATGAGCCAGCAACATCAGGCAACCATGGCAAACAATTTCCTTTCAGGCTGCCTTCGCAGCTTTGGTTGGCGCACCCAGTGACATTTGGGCAAGGCATTGGGCGGGAACTGCACGCTTTCATGAGCATTCTACCCCAAAAGAAACAGGAATGAACCTTGAAGATGGGTTCAGAAGATGATGTTCTGGGCGGATACAATCATTAATTTGGGCAACATAATGAGATTTACTCTCCGATAGCATCATGTATCATCGCATTTGCATCTCGAAGCTTGCAGGGGTTGCCTAGCCTCCACTCCAGAGAACTCTGGAATTCTTGCAAGGACTCCTATGGTCATTCAAACCCCGTTTCCAACAAGGGATAGGTGACAGCTCCATGGTAATGTGACAGTATTCCCCCAACCCATGATCACACCAGGATCAGATCTAGACAAATGACCACGATTCCAATGATGAGCAGTGATCCACTTCACCAGTTGGGTAACCTTCCTGCCCGGCTTAGGATAGCTCGGAGACTGGCCAGCTCAGTCGTTCCTTGGTTTATGGTGGCAATTCAGCAGGGGCCTTGTCCAGCGCCAAAAACAATGATGTGCTGTCTGCAGGGGATTCAGGGGGCGAAATTGTCAACGACTCTCGTTTTGCAAAACGCATGAAAATACAGTAGATGGAGCCAAGCCAGCTCTACAATTCAGCCCTTAGATACTCAAGAATCTCAAGAAGGAAGGGCGCAGTTAATCCTTGCCACCAAAAGCAACCAGGCAGAAACATTGTTTCAGTATGACGTCGGTGTTCATCTGTGGGCCCCACTTGTGGACAGTCCTATTGGGGGATGGGAGTCTGAAGGGAGAAGGTAGTTGCCCAATAAAGCCTGGATGCCCAGAGTCGCCTTGACTCACCTTGAGCCACCTTGGGCCGGAGGACATGACTTCGAGACAAGCTTGCAGCGCTTGGGGTATGACGCCAACTGCGCAGCTGCTGCTTTTCGGGACTTGGATCGACAAAATGCAGGTGGGACAAATACCCACTATCTCCAGAGTGCCGGCCATCAAGGAAAGGCAGTTACCAACAAGAACTGGGATTCAAGAATCAGGTGTAAGATAGATCATTTTTTGAATGATTGGGACAAAGTGTGAAGACTTCATGGCGGGCCTCGCCATTGATGATGGTTTGGCAAACATTTCCACTTGATGAAATAGCATTTGACAAGGTGGATAAACAGGTAGTGGAGGAAGTGCCGTGTACCAGGAGAGTGGGATAGAAGCTGCCCTTCTTCGTTCTGGATTGCATACATCATTCAGATGGTTTCAACCGCTTTTATGCCAGTTTAAGGATGCCATTTCTTGAGATTGTTTTCCCAAAAAAAAGATGCACGGCAATGATCACTGCATGGTCCGCGTCATGTTTTGGGCAGCTGCCTCAACCACTTGCGACACTTCTGGTATTTTGCGGCAGGTGTGGTGAATTTGCGCACCTTCGTGAATGGCTTGATGAGCGACGCGGTCCCGCCCAACTTTGAGACGCTGCAGAAGCCGGCCAGGCATACCTATCACCCTGGCATGAGTACGCCCAGGCGTTGGGTGCGGAATAGAGCCGAAGGGTTCATCATGTAATTCAATTTTATTCAACACTCAGATTTACGATCTTGGTTCATGAACTTTCTGTCAATATGAACGTTCATTTTTTTGCCATATGGCAAGTTAGTATTTGACACGTTTCCATTTCTAGTGGAGATAACCGAACTTGGCTGTCCTGTATACTGAAGATGCCGTGGCTAAAGATATGCCGCTTTGCCACGTCACTGCCCCAACAACTCATACTCGTCTACTTGACGCCTGGTAGTAAAACAAGAATCAAGACATGTCGTTTACCCGAGAATCGAATACTTTCAGTGATCCCCACCGTGACATTTTTGGTCATAGCTTCTGACATCTCATCTGGAAGCATATATTGCACATATTTTCTGAATTCTACTCTGGCATTCTATTCTGACATTCTATTCTGGCATTCTATCTGGCATCTATTCTGACATCCTATCTGGCACCCTTTCTGGCATCTATTCTGACATTTTCTATGGCATTTTATCCTCATTTCCCTGCTGGCTTCATTTTCCTGCTTCACTTCCTTACCCCCCTCACTTCCCCACTCTCTTGGCTTCTTCCCTCTCTCCACTTCCCTGATCTCTCCATGTCCCTACTCTCTTCACTTCCCTACTCTCTTCACTTCCCGACCCCGTTCACTTTCTTATTTTTTTCATCCCCCCACGCTTCTCACTGCCCTATTTTTTTCACTTCCTTACTCTTTTCAATTCTGTATGCTTTTCACTCTTCACTTCCCTGCGCTCTTCACTTCTTTGCTCTGTTCTGGATCATATTCTCCGTAAAACGGACTTTCTCTTGACTTCTCTTTTTTCATGCTTTCCTCAACACCTTTGTGTTTTGACGTCTCATGAACTTCTTGGCATCCTTTCCGTTTGTTTGTGTCGCCTTTCGTGCTTCAGTGTGCAGCCCCTCCCCGCCGCACACGGTGGCACCCCCCTGTTGCACACACCTCCCATGCGCGTGTTGGTGGCCAAACGCCGAGTCGAACCACATGCCGCCGAGACTCGCATTGTGCGAAAAAAACATCATTCCTCTCCGTCAAGCGTCACCTGGACAACAACTGGAAAGAAAGCTGCTCGGATACCTCAAAAACACGGCTTGCACGGAGACCTTAGGAAAACACAAGCAACCACGAACCTAGAAGCACGGACACCTGCGGTGGTCTGGTGATGCCGGGATTTGGTGATGTGATGATGTGGTGATGCTGGTGGTGCGGTAATGCGGTGATGTGGTGACGTGTTACTTCCTTCACATTCATAATTTCCGTAGCACGGAGTTTTGACATCTATAGGCATCTAAAAATTTCTTTGATCACGACTTCACAAGAGTTCCTAATGCCAAGCATTCAGGAGGACCCAGCACTTTCCCAAAGATTGAGACAAAACATGCCGCAGATATTAAGGTATAACGTCACAAGAATTCAGGCAAACCTTGTCAAAATTACTGAGGGCTAACCACACCATAATGCAGACAAACCACATCGGAGTTATTGAGGGATGAACTCAGAATAATTCAAGCAAACCATCTCTCAGCTATTAAGGAACAACGTCACAATAAATCAGACAAACCACCTCCCAGTTATTGAGGGATGACATCACAATAATTCAAACAGACCACTTTCCAATTATTGAGGAACAACATCACAATAATTCAGACAAATCATCTCCTAATTTTTTGGACATGGCCCGCGCAATAATTCACAAAAACCATCTCCCAACTATTGAGGGACAACGTCACAATAGTTCGGTCAAGCCACGTCCAAATGATTGAGGGATGCAATCGCAAGAATTCAAAAAAAAAACACATGCACATTATTGAGGGGCAGCGGTAATAATTTAGACAAACCTTATCAAGTTTTTGAGGGCAGATCACAACAGTTCAAGCAAATTATCTTCCAATTATTGACGGATCCCAACAATTCAGACAAACCACGTCCAAATTATTGAGGGGTCACTTCACAATAATTCAGACAGATCACGTCGGATTTATTGAAAGACAACGTCACAATAATTCAGACAGACAAACCATCTCGCAATTACAGAGGGATCACGTCACGATAATTCAGGCAAACCTTCTCGGAATTATTCATGGATGACCAGACCATCACAACAATTCAGACAATCCGCATCCCAATTATGCAGGGACAGCGTCACAATGAGGGACAATAATCCAGAGAAACCGTGTCCAAATGATTGAGGGATGACATCACCACAACTCAGACAAGCCATTTTCCAAGCGTTGGGGGACAAGTTCACAATAATTCAGAAAAACCACGGTTGAGGGACAATATCACAAGAATTCAGGCGAACCACGTCCAAATGTTTGAGGGATGACGTGACAATAATTCAGACAAACCACGTCCAATTTTTGAAGGGATAAACTGCACAATAATGCAGACAAGCCATATCCAAATTATGGAGGGGTAACGTCACAATAATTCAAACAAACCATCTCCTAGAAATGAGGAGCAACGTCACAATAATTCAGACAAACCACGTAACCATGCCCAAATCATGTAGGGGCGTCTTCCGCTCATTTAGGCAAACCATGCGCAAACTATTGAGGGATGAGTCCGCCATGCATACAGACATAGCATGTCCAATTTCTTTTGAGGGATACCTTGGTAATTTTTGAGGCAAACTTGACTCAATATGACTTTCCAATAATTCAAGAATATTCAAAACAACCTACATCCCAATTATTGCGCCATGACTTTCCAATAATTCGTGCGAAGCACTTTCAAATTATCGAGCGCAGTTTTCCCAACGATTCAGAGCAGATATGGCCAACAAACTGTTTTTCAGCCACAAGAAGAACATCAGGCTTTGTTTTCTTGTGCGCTGAGAAGCGCAGAAGAGTTGCATGCAACCAGGCCTCACTTCTTCTCATTTTCGGGCATCCATTGAAAAGTGCAGCTTTGAAAAAGCGGCGCTGGTAAGCAGAGAGTTCTGAGCCATGGTGTTTCTGTAGGCATGCTCAAGAAGTGGCTGATATGGCCTAAGCATGGTGAAGATGATTCCCGCCCCTTTCCCCCACATATTTTGCGCGCTTCTGTTTTTTTGGTGCCTCTATCGTGAATCGTGACCCCATTGTATTTGTAACTGTCCTTTGCAGCTTTCACTTGAGTGGCCTTGGCGGCCTTGGCGGCCTTGGCATTTGTTCTTGCAATTCCAGTATTTCCATGAAATTACGCAGACCAGGTTTGTAAAAATAACGCCATGACTTCTGCCAGTTGAACCTCCAAATTCTTGCCCCTTTATGCCTAATGTGCCTAATGCATCCTTGGAATTCCATCGGCCAGGAAGTTGAGCGACACCGCCCTGGCGCCCACGTTGTTGCAGCGATTGGCACCGGCACCCATTGCCCCCATCACCTTAGCTGCGCCGTTGACGCCGAAGAAGGGCGATCCTTGGCGCTCCGGAACGGTCGGAACGGTGGGGGATGTGCAATTGCATGGGGTGAACAGAATTAGAATTAGAATGAGTCATATGCGAGCAGGGCATTTTGTTGAAATTCTGTGCTCAGTTAATCCCGTAAACAATCTGAACATACAAATACATTTGTTCAATCATGTCATAATTCATGCACATGTGTATGTATATGTGTGTATGTTTAAGATTGGAGCTAGTGTTGAAATCGAAAAGAAGTTTCACATTAAGATTCGGATCGCGCTCTGGATATAGATACCGATGTGTTCATTTGTGTGCTGGTGCTTTTTTGCATCAGAACGTTAGATGAGAGCGGATATGTTGGAAAGCGGCAATCGTCAACACAACATGCCCATTCCTGCCAACTCCTTCAGTAAGCTGGTACGGAAGGGCGCCGTCCTATAACAAATTTGATCAGGAATCAGGCCCCTACAAAAAAAACCTTTCAAAACCTTGTTGCTTTTTTGGCAGTTGTTTGCAAGGTCTACTCGACAATAAGGATGCAGCGAACGACTTTCAAATGGTGCAATCCTAATATGAGATACATATGAACCAAAATTGTTGGGCAAATGACCAACCACCGCATGCGGGATCGCTTTGAATATCAGGCCGAACGTTGCCCGGCAGCGCTGGGCCCAAGAGGCCCCACCCAGGCGTCGAGCGTAGCTGGGAGAAACAGCTGGGCTGGTGGGAGGCAGGTCAGAGGGGAGCCAGGTTGTTTTTCCCCACCTGCCAGGTGAGGGTTGTTAGATTTTATCAGAGCTGTTCTTCTCCTCCTCGGCTAGCTCTTCTCCTCCTCCTCCTCTTCCTCCTACTTCTCGTCCTCCTCCTTCTCCTCCGTCTGTTCCGCCTCGACCATGTCTGCATCAACTTCCACCTCAACTTCCGCCTTGCCAACTCTTGGACAAGCTCTTTGCCAACTTCCCAGCTCAGTGTGCACCGCTGCACCTCAACCTGGGACCTTCCGAGCTCAGTGTGCACTGCTGGACCTCAACCTGGGACCTTCCGAGCTCAGTGTGCACCGCTGGACCTCAACCGGGGACCTTCCGAGCTCAGTGTGCACCGCTGGACCTCAACCTGGGACCTTCCCAGCTCAGTGTGCACTGCTGGACCTCAACGGCCAGGTAGAATGCCAGAAGATATGCCAGATAGAATGTCAGAAGATATGCCAGACAGAATGTCAGAAGATATGCCAGATAGAATGCGAGAAGATATGTCAGATAAAATGCCATGAGATATGCCAGATAGAATGCCAGAAGATATGCCAGATAGAATGCCAGAAGCTATTCCAGATAGAATGCCAGAAGGTATGCCAGAGAGAATGCCAAATAAAATGTCAGATAGAATGCCAGAAGATATGCCAGAGAGAATGCCAGATAAGATGTCAGATAGAATGCCAGATAGAATGCCAGAAGATATGCCAGATAGAATGTCAGATAGAATGCGAGAAGATATGCCAGATAAAATGCCAGAAGATTTGCCAGATGATATGCCAGAAGATATGCCAGATAGAATGCCAGATAGAATGCCAGAAGATATGTCAGATAGAATGCCAGAAGATTTGCCAGTAACAAAATGTATAAATGGCATGGTGGAGATCACACGAAGTAAAGTAATCTGCGGTTTTTGCATGTGGGAATGCAGGTTGTTTTGCGGAATTGGGAATGGCCCTGAAGTCATTTTCGATACTGGCGCAGAATTTGACGGCCCTGGAACCTGATACACCATGGTTTGATATCACCATGGTTTGATATGTATTCGGGTACTTTGGTTGTTCATCATTATTTACGTTCCTGCGGTAAGGGAGGCGGTTGTGCGCCGGTAATTGATGCAAAAAAAATCAATTTTAATTATACCTATCTGGAGGCCACCAGCATTTGGGCATAGTTCAAGCCACCCTGCTGACTGCTTCGGCGGTTCAAATCCAATCCATCTGGCTTGGGACGCAACATTGTCATCCACGCCATCTATAACTTTCCCATCCGAAGTCGGTTTTGTGCTTTTCTTCTTGGACACTGTACATGTGTCATAGTCATCGAACGTCAGAACGTTATTCCAATTCAATCCAGCATTAGTTTCACCCGCGACTTTGCCAGCCCTGAGGCATCCCCAAGGAACCACCCCTTGTCGGAGCGATTGCGTCAGCTCGAGCTGCAACTTGCATCCGAGCAGGCCGTCAATGAGGGGGCATGGGGATGTCACGGCAATCGTGGCGAGATTGATCTTTCACGAGTTTCAAGGCGGCAAAAGTGACCAATACCACCACAAAGCTCACTATGCGCTTGCTGTGAATGTTCAGCGGCTGGTGGGTTGCCAGGAAGCACGCTGCAACCTGGAGTGGCGCCTCACCTCGCAGTTTCGCGAGATGATACGGGAAGAGTTTCAGGCACACGGCAGGGTAACGATTGCCATCCACACATGCTTAAGCGGGAAATAATCAGCAACTGTGTGGATCATAACTTTCCACATCCCGCCTGCATAGGTAGCCTGAAAGCCAAAGAGGCGGACAGGCATAACAGATTAAAACACTGAAAGCTACAGCTCCAAGTGCAACAAGTGTGGCTAGCTGGGAAAGCAACTCGTGACACAAGCAGTCAAGCCAACAACGCTGTGTGCCTGTCACAGCTGAAACCCTCATGTCTTAGGTCTTAGGACAAGTCTTTGTTCTTCCACGGGTATGTGGCGGCCTCCTTTTGCAGGGGTTGACCCTTGGGTATTCCACGCATGCCTCGTAAGCTGAATTTTCAATCGGAATAACAACGCGTAACAACCACAAAATGGCAAACACGATTTCTGTTGGACACATCATCCAGGCACTGACACAGAGCTTCCTGTTTACAGAATGTTTACAAGCTGTTTGGTTACGTCCTCCTAGCTTTCCTTTCAAGCTCATGATATCTGCAGCAGGAAGCATAAATCAACCTCTAGCACGGGGTGGCGGTATTTTTGGCGCGATTTGCAGGAGGAGGCCACAACCCATACATAGAAATCATGTTGAACCTCCTGCTGAAGTCCGGCGTGAAATTCAGTGGTTTCCATCGGAGAAGTATGCGTCTGCTTCTTGATGGTCCTGAACATCTCTCTTGCTGATGTTCTTTAAAGATCTCTAAGGGGCATTGTAATCCCACCTTTGGACCCTTTTGGGGTTCCAACTGTAGCCCCAGGCCTTGCGCAAGCAGCTGGCAGAAGATGCGGCGCAGCACCATGGCTCAGACCTGAAGCACCCACAATGGCCCAAGGCTGGTGACGATGGAACCCAAACATGCCCAACCGCCCAGCCAACAAAAGGTGTTTTTTGGAACCGCAAGTAATCGAGCCAGTCTATCAGTTTGGGCAAGACCAATGAAATGTTGCTCAGCCCTTGAAGTTGGCCCTGGAAAAGTGCTTCTTGTGTGCCCAAATAAGAATAATAGGGCAACCCCGCTCCTATCTTTGGTTGATACCCCTGGTTGCAAGCTAAATTTTAGCCCAAGTGCAGTTGGTTAATAATCCCCCTTGCATACAAATTTGTTTCCAAGTCTCTGCATCATGAGGGCCACAATTGCTGCGAATGCAAAGATATTGACAAGGATACCTTTCATTTAGAACACAGTAATTGTTGCTTTTTCATCCCAAGACAAGAGATGTTGACATGTTGCCAAACATTTGATTGGCTTGTAGTTGGTGTTGTTATCGCTGCTGCTTGCATGCCAGAAATCATGTTTGCATTAGCCGTACCAGCATGTTCTGGGCACGCTTCTGCTGGCCAATGGCCGGATGGCCAAGGCAACCAGGTCGGTTTGGACCATGCATGGACATTAATAGGCTGGCCAGCTGCGGTGTCTTGTGAAAGGGTGTGGATGACCAGGTATGTTTCTTGCTAGCTATGAGATTGAACGCGTGCGACCACCAGGTAGCTGGAAAAAGGAATTTGAGATAGGTTGGTTTCATTTTCCCTTCGAACCTAGAACCTAGCGTATCATCCCCTACCGTTTGTTGCGTGATATCTTCCAAGAACTGGCAGTTTCGGTCGGATGCCCCTGGTCAGGCGGGCGAAGGAAGCAGAGGATCACGAGGACGACGGGCTTTGGCTTTCTGTTGGTATGGATTTCTGGCCCCCAACTGGCATATTACACTTTTCTGTTGGTTTGTCTTTCTGGAAATAGTCCCTGTAGCCTCCAACTCAAGTACGCTCTGATACTCTTGGCGATGACGGCCATAACTGTCACACACCTTGAAGTTCACTGCCATCTACCAAGTAGCGCGGGGCCTGCAAGTTCAGTTGCACTTGGAACTCAATATACAGGCGGGGCGGACGGTTTTCCTTCGTTGTTTGGAAGCATTTCCTGCCCCGTCTACATGGTCTAAAGTCTATCAGCTTTCAGCAACCAACCATCGGTCCAAGGCCAACTTTTCTTATGTCGCGACTGTGAACATACTTGCGTTTTATGGTTTGACATCAACATGCTACGGCAGCAGGAGTTCACTATATATAAATATGTATGTATGTATGTATGTATGTATGTATGTATGTATGTCTGCATGCATGCATGCATGCATGCATGCATGTATATGTGTATGTAATGTTATGTTACGTTACGTTACGTTACGTCGCGCAATGCAATGTAATGTAATGTAATGTTGCAATATGTAACGTAATCTAATGTAATGCAATGTAATGTAATGTAATGTAATGCAATGTGTCGTAACTTTGTGTAATGCAATGTCGTGTTGCATTATGTAATGTAATGTTGTGTTAATGTAATGTAGTGTTGTGTTAATGTAATGTAATGTAATGTAATGTAATACCAGTAGTGCCGCACAAGGCGGCGGCGGAAGTTTCAAAAATAGTAAGTAAACCTATAGGAGAGGTTGGTTGTTGTGAATCGCGGATGGCAGAGCGAATCCACTGGTGGACCGAAAAGTGGTTGGAGTTGTGTTTTCTGGAGTGGCTGCAATGGTTGCAGTGGTCACCTCACCACAACTGCTGGATGTAGCGTGGTGTAGTGCAGTTGTAGTTGGAGTTGTAGCTGTAGTTGTAGTTGTAGTGTAGTGGAGTTGTAGTTGCAAGTTGTAGTTGCACAGTAGTGTAATTAATGTAGTGTAGCTGCAGTTGCAGTTGTAGTTGTGGTGTGGTGTAGTGTAGTGTAGTGTAGTGTACTGTAGTGTACTGTAGTGTACTGTAGCGTTGTGCATAGTGTAGTGTAGTCTAATTGTAAAGTAGCGTAGTTGTAGTTGTAGTGTAGTGTCGTGTGGTGCAATGTAGTGGTAGCTGCAGTTGCAGCGTAATGTAATGTAATTAGTGTAGTGTAGTGTTGCATACTGTATTGTAGTTGTAGATGTATTTGTAGCTGCAATGTGCTGCAGTTTAATCAATGTATTGTATTGTAATGTAGTGTAGCTGTAATTGTAGTTGTAGCTGTGGTGGTGGTGGTGGTGGTGGTGGGGGGGGTAATAGTTGGCGGTGGGAGTAGTAGTTGGTGGTGGGAGTAGTAGTTGGTGGTGGGAGGAGTAGTAGTAGTAGTAGCAGTAGTAGTAGTAGTATCCCCACCCCCTTAACCTAGCTTTTTGGGGGGGACCCTACTATATGTAACTTACATTTTTCGGGGTGTTTTTAGGGGGGGTTAATTGTAACTTAAAATCTCTAAGGTACCAGAAATTCAGGTTTTGGAAGGGTGAAAAATGTAAGTTCTGACCCCCCTAGGTATGGTCCTGGGCAAAGCAATTTCAAGGTATTCCCCAGGAATGCACCACACACGTAGTGATCTATGGAAATGGGGGGGGGGGGAAATGTAACTTACATTTTGTCCCCCTCCCTTTTGATGTTCTTTGGTATCTGAATGTTGCAGAATGGTTGCAGACATATGCAGACATATGATTGGTTGTAATGTTTTATAGATTTTATAGCTTTTTCAGAGATGTTCTTGGATGTTCTGTGGTATTTTTTGATGTTTTTCTGTTTATATATCTATGTATTTTTTTTGTAATCCTGGCACCAACCTTGTTATAACTGTTATGTGTACCTCTTCCTTTTATCCCATGAGGGCCCAATGTTTTGTGACGTCCCAAGAAGTAACTTACATTTTTTGAAAAATGGAGGCTTCCAGAGAAATAACACCTTCAAAAATGTAAGTTACATTTAGGAAGGTTTTACCTGAAAAATGTAATATTACATTTTTCAGGTCCCTCCAAATTTCAGAGGGATCTACCCTAAATGTAACTTACATTTTTGCAGGTGCAGATTGTATGGGTTTTTCACAAAATGTAAGTTACATTTTCGAAGGTTTTACCTACCCTAAATGTAAGTTACATTTTGGGGAGGTCCCCCCTGCTAAAAGGGTAGGGATGTAGTAGTTGCTGTTGTAGTAGTTGTAGTGCAATTTGTGTAGCGTCGGGTACTTAGATGTAATTAGTGTAGCGTAGTGCAATTAGTGTTGTGTAATGTAGCGTAGTATATTTGCACTTGTAGTTGTAGTAGTAGTGTAGTGTAGTGGTACTTGTAGTTGTAGTTGCAGTTGTAGTTGTCTCTCTATCTATCTGTCTATCTGCAAGCTTGAAAACGAAGCTATTCTGTGAGACTTCCTCAATTTTTGAACTTGACAACATCAAAAACGCAGCAAGTCTGCGAGACCTCAATTTTTGAACATGACAACGTCAAAAACGAAACAATTCTGCGAGACTTCCTCATTTTTTGACAAGATCAAAAACGAAGCAATTCTGCGAGACTTCCTTCAAAAATGGAAAGTTGAGTGCAGAGCTGACGGCCTCGTGCCAATGCGTTTTGCGACTTTTCCACTCCACCTGTCTAAAGCACTGCGCCTGCCTCAAAAAAGTGATGCCAGGTCATACGAAGCGCTGCACCTGTCACGCAAAATCATCGCAGCAAACCTGAAGATCTGATGCTCCAAAATGCCTCAGGAAATCAGCGCCCGGACCTGGCGCGAAGCACATTTCGAAGTCAAAATATTAAAAACACCACAGGCTCGGACCACTTTTTGACGTTCAGATGTCGTTTCGCTTGGCAGGCGCAAGGGATTGTGCACCTTGTCATAAGTGAGCAAAACGTGAGGGTTTTGTGGCATTTCCAAAACGATGGCAGGCGTGGGACATTTGAAGAGGATCTGCAAAGATGCATTTTCCATGGCAGGCGCAGTACAAGAGACATGTTCATCAGAGCTGTTAGGCCACAACGGCATGCACTTTTTCGACATCTCAACTTCCAAAAGTGCTCCGAACCTGGTGTGCTTTGTGCATTTTGACTTCGAAATGTGCTTCGCGCCACAACGGCGTGCACTTTTTCGACATCACAACTTCCAAAAGTGCTCCGAACCCGTCAGTTTTTTACACTTTTGACTTTGACATGTGCCTCGCGCCACAACGGCGTGCAATTTTTCATCTCTCATCTGGCCAGCTGGCTCCGCACCCGCCACTTTAGCGAGCCTACTTTTCGACCCTCCGGACCCACAAATCATTGGAAAAACACAGTGTTTCGCGACTTTCCTACTTTTTCGCGCATCTGGATCTTCTTTCTTCTGAGACTTTCTCTTTTTTGATCTTCTTTCTTCTTCTCTTCTCTTCTCAGCCTCTTCCTATCTCTGCTTTTCATCTGTCCATATTGTCCGAAGTTTGACTTCTAAACTTCCTTCGATAAGGTAAGGCAATGTAATGTAATGTAAATAATTTATGTATGCATGCATGTATGTATGGATGGATGGATAGATGTATGCATGTGTGTACGTTTGTTTGTTTGTATGTAATGTAATGTAACGTAACGTAACATGGCGTAATGTAATGTAATGCAGTGTAGCGCAGTGCAATGTAACGTAATGTAATACAATGTAATGTAATGCAATGTAATGTAATGTAATGTAATTTAGTGTAGCGCAGTGTAATGTAATGTAATGTAGCGTAGCGTAACGTAGCGCAGTGTAAGGAATTGTAATGAAATGTAATGTCATGTAACGTCATGTAATGTAGTTCATGCGTCTATGTAATGTGTCTATATAATGCATGTATGCATGCATGCATGCATGTATATATGTATGTATGTATGTATGTATGCATGTATGTATGCATGTTTGCATGTATGCATGTCTGCATGCATGTATGTATGCATGTTTGTATGTATGTATGTATGTGTGTACGTATGTACGCCTGTATGTATGTACGTATGTACGTATGTCCGTATGTCCGTATGTACGTATGAACGTATGTACGTATGTACGTATGCACGTATGTATGTATGAATGTATGTAAGTATGTATGTAAGTATGTATGTATGTATGTAATGTAGTGTAATGTTTTGTGATGTAATGTAATGTAATGTAATTTAATGTCATGTAATGTTATGTAATGTCATGTAATGTAATGTAATTTAATGTAATGTAATTTAATGTCATGTAATGTAATGTAATCTAATGTAATGTAATGTAACGTGTGTAATGTATGTATGTATGTATGTATGTATGTGTGTGTGTTTGTATGTATGTATGCATGCATGTATGTATGCAGGTATGTATGTATGTATGTATGTATCTATGTATGTATGTATGTATGTATGATGTATGTATGTATGTATGTATGTATGTATGTATGTATGTATGTAATGTATGTATGTATGTATGTATGTATGTATGTATGTAATGTATGTATGTATGCATGCATGCATGCATGCCTGTATGTATGTATGTATGTATGTATGTTATGCACGTAATGTACGTATGCATGTATGTATGTATGTATGTATGTATGTATGTATGCTTGTAAGCATGTAATGTTTGTAATGTGTGTAATGTATGTAATGCATGTAATGTATTCAATGCATGTAATGTATGTAATGCATGTAATGTATGTAATGTATGTATGTATGTCAGTAAGTTAGTAAGTTAGTAAGTTAGTAAGTTAAGTAATTAAGTAATTAAGCAATTATATAAGTAATTAAGTAAGTTACTTAGTTAGTTTGTAAGTTAGTAAGGTAAGTAATTAAGTAAGTAAGTAAGTAAGTAAGGTAGGCAGGTAGGTAGGGAGGTAGGTATGTATGCATGTATGTATGTGCATACGTATGTATGTATATATGCATGTATGTATGCATGCATATACGTATGTTATGTTTTGTTATGTTATGGTATGCTATGCTATGTATGTATGTATGCATGCATGCATGCATGCATGTATGTATGCGTGTGTGCATATGTATTTGTTTTTTGTATATGTATATGTGTATGTGTTTGTGTATGTGTGTACGTACGTGCGTACGTACGTATGTATGTGTGTATGTAGGTATGTGTCACGCATCAAGCCCCCTGTCCAAATCACAGAAGCACGTTGCTTCGACATACCGTTTCATGTTACTGTTTGCTGCTGCCCTAAAGTCTCAAGACTTGTGTCTCACATGGTTATTCTCAAATTCATCTTTTTTTTGCTCCTAAGTTTTTCAAGTTTCACCCACGCGATCTGGCAATGTCTAGGAGCGTCGCTACGTTATGATGACTTCGGTCTCTGAGCGCCGCCTGGACGATACGGCGCCAGCAACGGGAGTCCCGCCCTCCGCGGCATCATCAGGGCCTACCGAGCCGGAGCGCCGGTCCCAGGCAGATCTTTTATGGGGGGGTACAAGTTTGGTAGTATAGTATGGAGATGGCTGCCGAGGATTTGCGGTAAATTGCATGTATCTTTGGTAGTCTGTAGTATCTTCATATATCATAAATATATTTACAAACATATATATATAAAGTAAAAATGTATGTTTATGTATTTTGATTCACATGCTACAGTACGTTACTATATTTCCGTGGTGGGTAGTTGGTACTTAGTTGCTGGTGCGTCAAAGCATTTTTTCGTGGTCCACGGTGAAACCGCCTTTGGGGGGAATTGGGCATGATGGCAAGCAACCACCACAACCTGAGTTTTAATTCCAGTACCGTACGGGACCAAGATTGGAAGAAGCATAGGAAGTTTGAAATACCACATATGTAACTTGAACATGTTTACAGTTATATTCAAACCGCTGCATAAATGCACGCATTCAGCCGTTTCAGTATGTTACATTGCGTTACATTGAGCTGGAACATTCCACAACACTAGATTGTTACACTACCATACAATCCAAACATGCAAGTGCATCTGTGCAGTGCCTTCTTTGACCATGGATCAACGCATCGACGGTTTACCATGGGTGGCTGAACATGGCTAGACAATCTGGTTGCTCTGGCCTTGCAGGAGCTGTCCAAGCTGCAGTTAACGCCGCGGACTTCCCTGCGACAGGCCGGGCTGCTCGCAAGCTACATTGCCTATTCCCGATAGCCCTTCTTTCAATGACTACTCCGTGGGCGATGAAAATGAGATTGCAACCTGGGAATCATTATTTTCGGACAAATTCAAACGACCCCCAAAGCCAGCTATGATAGCTATGAGCTTATTTGCTTATTCCCACAGGTGCCACTACTGACTGACCCTCATGCATGGTGAGGCCGGCCATGAGTTTGTTACAAACCATCTAGATTACGGTCATCAGCTCTTCCAAGCAGTTCACCTGCATCCCAAACCACCCAAATTTGGCTTCTCTCAAGGGCGAAGTAGGGGCAAGCGACGTATCTCAAAGCCGTTCAACCTTGGGAAAAGACCGGCCCTCACTAGGATTCAACTTTTTTTGCCGCTTTTACAAAACCACATTACAAGTCAATGATTGCATTCTTCCCCCAATGTCGCTATTTGGCTGCTTGGTTACAACACGTTAAAACCCATTAACCGCAACTGGTTGTTTTTCATCCATCATCGGATTTTATATCTAACAGAAACCAACGTTGGCATACCCGAGGGTGAAATTCAGCGACGACGGGCAGCGAAACGTGCAATTCCTTGAAGGGTGGATCTCAGTGGCTCAGAAGCCCCAAGGTTTTTGTGCCAGATATATGAGATGCGTGGGCAACACTGATACATTCCCTGCCATATCACGCGCAGCATGGCACAGTTCACATCATGCTTGCACGTTAGCTGCAGGCATTGATAAGTTCACCTTACCTGAGACAATGATCCCAGTGGCTCAAGTTTCCAGATAGGTTGCAACCCCAGACAAACAAAACTATCAGAGGCGTGGAGATCAACATAAGCATCCCGGGTTCAAACCAAATATTTGGAAGATGTGAGCCCCTGGGTTTTACTTCCCGCTCCAGGAGAATCTGTCGCTACGGGAGCAGATCCTCACGCTCCGGGAGCAAGCCATTGAAGCCAAGGCTCCGATCTCACGACGCTGAAGGGGGGAAGGTGAGAATCAAAAAAGCCGGGCAGCCTGGAGCATCACAAAAAACGGAAAAAGGTATTGAGGCTCAGCCGGCCAAAACAAGGGGCTTAACCCAGTCACAACTGGGGGGAACTGAGGAAAGAGAGGGATCAATCCAGCAACCAACACTGATGAATTGCTTGGGCTTCACCAATCAAAACAGGAATGGCTGTAACCAACTAGAGGACAGTGTGGCCCGAAAGGAAAACAGGAGGGAGTAGATCAAAAGAGGATGGAATGAGAAGATATGAAGATGAATCATGATAAAGGATGATGAAGGATGAATGAGGATGCTGATGCATCATGATTTATGAATGTATAATGAGAGATAATGAAACTATTGCAGGGCTTTGCACACCGGCGATGCCCCAAGGGTTGTTCTTGTTGCCAAGAGAGCCGCCCGCTTGCTCTCTTGTCATCCTGCAACCATCTGACGACACGGCTTTTTTACATTCTTGTATAGCGGCCAAAAATCGTCAAATAGGTGGCAGTGGTGCTTTCACTTATTTCAGCCGATCGGAGCAAAAACATTGCCAATACTGATGTTTGTGGTGCCTCGGAGGCCAAAAGCAAAAACCAAGGTATTTACATAGTTTTGTGGACGGCGCCTAGCAAAAACATTGGTATTTACGCGGTTATCAACATGCTGCAAGAAACACCTCTTGCAAGCAAAAGTTGCAAACACAGTATATATATATAATTAACCGTGTTTCGGGCGTTGGCAGGTACCAAAAAACAGCAAAAAAATGCCACCAAAACTGTCCACAACGGATTTTCCAAACCCCCCTTGGCCCCAGACCCCATGTTTAATCGATCTTTTTTGACCCCAAAAAATGTCGAAACCTTACCAGGTTGAAGGATTTTGGGGGGAGGGTCGGCGGCAGGCGCGCGCGCTCCCTAGCAAGCTAAGACTTGGAAGGACCCGTCATACGGCGAGGCATCGCCCCATTATTGTAGGGCTTCGCACACCGGCGATGCACCAAGGGTAGTTCTTGTTGCCTAGAATGCCGCCCGCTTGCTCTCTTGTCATCCTGCAACCATCTGACGACACGGCTTTTGTTCATTCTTGTAGCGGCTAAAAATTGTCAAATAGGTGGCAGTGGTGCTTTCACGTTTAGAAGTCAAACTTCCGACAATATGGACAGATGAAAAGCAGAGCAGGGAAGAGGCAGAGAGAAGAGAAAGATTAGAAGAGAGAAGAGTAGAAGAGAAAGAGTCAGAAGAAAGAAGATGCAGATGCGCGAAAAGGTAAGGAAAAGGAAGGAGAGGAGGAGGAGGAAAGTCGCGAAACACTGTGTTTTTCCAATGATTTGAGGCTCCGGAGGGTCGAAAAGTAGGCTCGCTAAAGCGGCGGTTGCGGAGCCAGCTGGCCAGATGAGAGATGAAAACTTGCACGCCGTTGTGGCGCGAAGCAGATTTCGAAGTGAAAATGCACAAAACACACCATGGTCGGAGCACTTTTGGAAGTGGAGATGTCGAAAAAGTGCACGCAGTTGTGGCGCGAAGCACATTTTGAAGTCAAAATGTACAAAACACACCACGTTCGGACCACTTTTGGAAGTTGCGATGTCGAAAAAGTGCACGCCGTTGTGGCGCGAAGCACATTTCCAAGTCAAAATGTACAAAACACACCAGCTCCGGACCACTTTGGGAGGTCAGATGTCGCTTCGCTTCACTACCACTACACCTACATTGGACACCATTACACTACAGGACATTCCACTACCACGACCCTACAGTACACTACATACACTCCAGTACAACTCAACTACACCTAAATTACACTACACCACACTACATTAAAACTACGCTTAACTCCACTACATACACGACAATACACGTTACACTTACACTATACTACCACGATCTTCCATATATTCACTACCGTACACTTACACTGACCACTCCATGACACGACACACAAAACAACGCTAATAGACTACACTCCACTACACTCCACTACACTCCACTACACTCCACTACACTAAATTACACTACACTACACTACACTACATTACACTACACTACACCACATTCCGCCACACTCCACTACATCACACTACATTACACTACACTACATTAGACTGAATGACACTGCACCACAGGTAGGCAGGTTGACAGATAGATAGATAGATAGACAGATAGACAGGCAGACAGCTAGACAGATAGACAGGTGAAAGGGAGAGCTAGATAGATAGATAGATAGATGGATAGATGGGTAGACATATAGATAGATAGATAGATAGATAGATAGATAGATAGGTAGATAGATAGATCGATCGATCGATAGATCGATAGATACATAGATCGATACATAGAGAAAAAGCTAGATACATAGAGAGATAGATAGATAGACAGACAGATAGATACATAGATAGATGGACAGACAGACAGATAGATAAATAAATAGTCAGAGAGACAGCTAGAGAAATAGATGGAGTCAGTGGCTTCGCTCTGCCATCCCTGATTCACAACAACCAAGCTCTCCTATAGGTTTCCTATTTTTGAAACTTCCGCCACCGCCTTGTGCGGTACTACTGGTAAATACTGATGTTTGTGGTGCCTCGGAAGCCAAAAGCCAGGGTATTTACAACGTTTTTTGCGCTTGGTAGAAAAAACTGCGGCATCTACATGGCTTGCTTACAATAAGACAAAATCAGCATGGGCGTTTTGATGGGGACTCGGACTTGCTGACCGACAGAAGGAGATATGAAAAGCAATAAGGATGCAGCCTGCAAAGATAGCACTGTCACCGACCCCGGTTGCTAATTTGAAATCTTCAAATTTTCCATTTTGCTTTCAAACCAATTATGAGTACGCAGGTGCTTGATGCTTTAAAAAGCGTTGCCGCATACATAGGTGATGCATGCGCACGGCTTTTGACTTTTGATTAAACGTATCCTTTGCCGCCCCAACCTCTGGAAACCTTGGAGCAAGTAGGAAGAACAAAAGTATCCCAGCACACTGGCGAATATCATGCAGCAAAGGCTGCTGACTTTCGGCCTTTTCGTAAGTCGTAAGCTTTTCTTTTTGCCAAGCTAGCTTGTGAAAGCCGATTCCACGTAGGAGGCAGTTCCTGCAATTGTGTGGGAGTCTGGGAGGCTGAATTGCAAGGCCCCGGTCAGATCCCCAGTGGACAGGAGAGGGAGGCAGCAGCTGCTGTAGCAGCGCCGCAGCGGATGATGATGACACGGAGTCATTCTGATCAGATGCGCGAAGCAGGCAAAGGACATTGACGGCGGCTGCCACTTGGGATGGGTCATAGAAAGCCGGATTGTCAATCGAGGGGCAGAAGATGCTAAAATAGATCTAAAGCCTAAAACTCTATTTGGCAATCAAAGTAAGTATTGA